GGAGGCAAACCATGAGAGACTCACGAATACTGAGAACAAACTGAGGGCTGATGGGGGTGGGGGAGAGGGGCAAATGGGTGATGGAGGAGGGCACTTGTGGGGATGAGCACTGGGTGTTACATGGAAACCAACTTGACAATAGACTGAAAGAAAAAAAAAAAGGGAGGCTCCACTCCAAGTGGGTGTGGCCAAGGCAGGGCTCCCTGTCTCCCCAGCTCCTGGTTAAGAGTTACAGCATCCCTCCAGTAGGAACAAACTGCCAGCATTTATCCCTTCTAGCTCACTATTGCAGAGGTGAACTCTAGGTGAGTGGACCTAAAAGACTGTGGTCTCCCTTCCTCCATTTGCTTCCCATTCAGAAGGGAAACATGACCCCACACACAGCAGGCAAAGAATACTGGCGCCCCATCGCCCTCATCACAGCTCACTCACAGGGCAAAGGTTCTAGGGCAGGCAAGCCAAGAAGACTGGAGGCTATATGTCTGCCCACTAGCCTGTTCATAGAGAGAAGTAAGCCATCGTCTCTGCCTCCAGGTCTAGAACAGTGACTCAGAATTTGCCCATGGAAAGAGGGAGGCCAGGAGACCTGAGAGTTTCAAAGTTCTCCCTCAGAGAAAATGACTTTATTTAGAACAGAATGTGGAGAATTTCAAGCATAAGGGTATTTTTGAAAATAATATCAATTTTAGTGGTAAAGCACTCAAGGCTGATAGAGTGCTGTCAGCAAAATGGCAGAGGAGACAGTTCCAAGCTCTCATCCCTCCAAAGGATTAAAAAACAAGCAGAAACTATCAGAGCCAATATTTTTGTTTTGTTTTGTTTTTAATGTTTTATTTATTTCTAGGAGAGAGAGAGAGAGACAGCATGAGCAGGGAAGGGTCAGAGAGAGAGGGAGTCACAGACTGAAACAGGCTCCAGGCTCTGAGCTGGCAGTCAGCACAGAGTCCGACGCGGGGCTCAAACCCACGAACCGCGAGATCATGACCTAAGCGAAGTTGGACGCTTAACCGACTAAGCCACCCAGGCTCCCCTATCACAGCCAATATTGTCAGAACTCTGGAAAACAATCAAAGGTTAAGAGCAACCAAGAAAATGATGAACCAAGAAAAAAGCAACTTCAAAAATAGTAGGTAAGTTTTTTGGCATTTTTACTCTCTCCCTACCTCCTCCTCAGTATAGTGGGAGTCTTGAAGATGGAAATCCACATTCCCAGAATGGGACACTGGTCCCTGGTTTTGGAGCGGGTGCGGCATACCCAGGGCAAGACACATGTTTGGAAAATAAGTGAGAAGACTCCAAACTTTGACCTTGGGCTGATCCCTAAGCTCAGTGCAAGCCTGACTAAGTGTTGAAGGACCATCTCAGCACCGAGCCCATGTTCCAAGACAAAAAGGTACTTTTTGTTTCATTTCTTTTTGTTGTCTTTAGCTCCTGACATTCAAAGAAATCTGTCAAAACACTAACTGAACACAAGTTAAGGCACAGAGACTTAGGTGACCACACCCAAAGGAGGTATATAGTCTGTTTTACTGTTTTACATTCGCACCAGCAATATGCCTTCAACAATCAAAAAAAAAAAGGTAGGGGCGCCTGGGTGGCTCAGTCGGTTAAACGTCCGACTTTGGCTCAGGTCATGATCTCACGGTTTGTGGGTTCGAGCCCCGCCTGGGCTCTGTGCTGACAGTTCGGAGCCTGGAGCCTTCGGATTCTGTGTCTCCCTCTCTCTGACCCTCCCCTGATCACGCTGTCTCTCTCTCAGAAATAAATAAAACATTAAAAATTAAAAAAAAAAAAAAAAAGGTAAACTCTGGGGAAGGGAAAGATTCTGACTTTCAGCAGCACCATACTGTAACATTCAAATGTCCAATTTTCTAAAATAAATAAAAACCACAAGGCATACAAAGAAATAAAGACTATGGACGACTCATAAGAACAAAATTAACAGAAACCATTCTGGGAAGTCCAGGTATCAGACTTACTAGCTAAAAACTTTAAAACAGCCATCTTATCAACGAATGGCACTAGGAACACTGCACATCCACATGTAAAAAAAAAAAGAAACTGAACCCTTAGCCCGTATCATATAAAAAAAAAATAACTCAAAGTAGATTAAATACCTAAAACTATAAATTTCCTAGAAGAAAACAGGGGGAAAAAAACTACATGATATTGAAATTTAGCAATGATTTCTTGGATATGACACCAAAACCACAAACAACAAAAGCAAAAATAGGCAAACAGAACTATACCAAACTAATAATGGGAAAAAATATTTCCAAATCATATCTCATAAGGAGTTAAGATCCAGAAAATATAAGGAACACCATCAACCCAACAACAAAAACCAAATATACCAATTAAAAATAAGCAAATGACTTGAATAAAGATTTCTCCAAAGAAGATATACAAATGGCCAATAAACACATGAAAAGATGGACAACATCATTAATCATTAGGGAAATGTAAATCAAAATGAGATAGTATCTCATACTCATTAGGATAGCTCTATTAAAAAAAAAAAAGAAACTAAGAAAGTAACAAAGTTCTGAAAAGAGTGTGGAAAAATAAAGAGTCCCTGCATATTGCTGGTGGGAATGTAAAACAGTGCAGCTGCTGTGGAAACGAGTATGGCAATTCCTCAAAAAAAAAAACACCTCACAGAATGAACATATGACCCAGTAATTCCTTTCTGGGTACATACTCAAAGGAGTTGAAAGCAGGAACTTAAAAAACTATTTGTATACCAATGTTCTCAACAGCATTATTCACAACAGCCAAAGGGTGGAAGTAACCCAAGTGTCCACTGATGAATAAAAATGTGGTAAATACATTCAAAGGAATGAAATTCTAACACATGCTACAACATGGATGAACCTTGAAGACATCTAAGTGAAATAAACCAGATACAAAAGGACAAATACTTACTATGACATGAGATACCTAACGTGGTCAAATTCATAGAGACAGGAAGTAGAATTATGGTTAAAAGGGCTGGAAGGAGAAGTAACTGGGGAATTGTTTAATGGCTATGGGGTTTCAGTTTGGGAAGATGAAGAGGTCTAGAGATGGTTATGATGGCTAGTGATGGTTGTACACCAGTGTGTGACTGTACTCAATGCCACTGAAGTGTACACTTAAAAACAGTGGGAATTGGGAGCACTTGGGTGGCTTTGTTGAGTGTCTCACTTCAGCTCAGGTCATGATCTCAGTTGATGAGTCAGAGCTCCATATCAAGCTTGCTGCTGTCAGCCTGTCAGTGCAGAGCCTGCTTCAGGTCCTCTGTCCCCCTCTCTCTGCCCTTCCCCTGCTGTGCTCTCTCAAAAATAAATATTTTAAAAAAAGTGAGAATTGTAAATTTTGTTATGCATATTTTACCACAGATACTAAGATACCACTTCACACCTACTAGGATGGCTATTTAAAAAAACAACCATAAAAACCAGAAAATAACAAGTGTTCGTGATAATTGGAGGAATTGGAACCATTATACATTGCAGGTGGAAATGCAGAATGGCACAGCACCAGGGAAAAGTTTAGCAGTTCCTCAAAAAGCTAAACCTAGAATTACTATATGATCCAGCACTTCCACTCCTAGGTACATACACAAAAGAACTGGAAAGACATTGAAATACTTGAACGTGAATATTCATATCAGCACTACTTCAAACAGACAAAAGGTGGAAACAGCTCAAATGTCCATCAGTGGATGAACAGATAAAATATAATCCATAAAATGAAAAACTATTCAGCTCTAAAAAGGAATGAAGTAATGATGTATGCTACAACTGTGAATAGCCTTGGAAACATTTAACTGAAAGAAGCCAGACACAACAGATCATATATTGTATGAATGCATTTATATGAATTACATACTAGAAAAAGCAAATTCATAGACACAAAATATATAGAAACTTGGGGCAAAGGGTTGGGGAAGGAGACAAATGGAGAGTCATTGCTTAATGGTTAAAGAATCTGGGTGATGAAAAAGTGAAAACATAGTGGTGATGGCTATACATTGTTAAGATAATTTATGCCATTGAATTGTACACTTAAAACGGTTAAAGTGGCAAATTTTATGCTATATATATTTTACCACAATTTTGAAAAAAACTGATGTAAAATACCCAAAACCACTGAACTGTACACCTTAAGTGTTTATGTTTTTAGAAATCTCTACACCCAACAAGGGGTTCAAACTCATGACCTTGAGAGTCACACCCTCTTCCCCGAGTGAGCCAGATGCCCCAGAATTGTACAATGTAAATGTATTAATTCTATGTGAATAACTCAATAAAGCTGTTTTAATAAAGTGTAACTACTGCTGAAATCATTAAAACAGCAAATGTCTTATACATATTTACCACAATAAAGGTAATTCCCCCTTTACCAGAGCACAGGCACCATACTCAAAGCCTAGACAAGAAACTGCATGGCTAATTGATCACGTAAGTGTGCTAGAGTCAAGTGTTCAGTTTGGGGCACAGAGCTGCTGAGTCTACAGGGTGGAGCGCTTTAAATAAAAATGACAACTAGACGAACTGGTCACTGAAAGCTATTTTAGGTTGCATGTTTAAGAGAAGAGTTAAACAAATGGAGATGTACGGTCAAGTAGGCTAAAGAAAATATATGAAAGTAAAAGAAACGGTAGTACAGCAATCCAGTACTTTCTATACTTCACATGTTGCTGTTCTGCCTACTGTTGATCTGTGAATACTTATGTAACTTTCATATGACTGAAGGCTCTATGTGGGCCATTCTTGTGGGTTTGTTTCTTTGTTTTCATTTTTAACCCAACAAACACCAACTGTAGCCTGCGCATTATTACAAGGAACACAACTGCTATCGACTTCAACATTTTGGGACCCATGACACCCAAAACCCTGAGAAAAAAATTAAACAAATATGAATCGGTTTCTTTTTAATCCTTTTCAAAAACGGATTAGTGGTAATTCACTCTTGAAGAATTTTGATTTTTCACAAACACGCTGGGTTTTACTCACCGATCTCCTCTGATTCCTGCCCGGAGACTCTAAGCTTGCATTCCTCTGGATAGTGTTTTTGGATCATCTCCCACAGTTCCATGTTGACAAGAGAATTTCTTCGGGTGTGATACCGGGTCCACGAAGAGACCCGGCGGCGACAGAAAGGACAGCATAAACTTGCCTTCTCGACAGTAGATTGGAAGCAGGGATTACAGAGCGTGTGGTTACAAGGCAGTGTTATCGGTTCGATGAGGATTTCCACACAGATGCGGCACTGGCATTCCGACAAGGAAGGGATGGCGTTTTGGTGCACAGCCATTTTAATATGCTAACAAGGCATATTCAACATCAATACCTGAAAGAAAAAGAATCTCATTTCCGTCCCAATTACGGAGAAGGGAAATCCACAGTTTTGTGTTTAAATATTTTGCCCAGCTGCGTATCAGAATTCAGAGACTGGGGACATCACACAGCGTCCTCAAGTAAAAAGGCACCCTGTGACCCAGGTAAACAGTACTACCCTGAAAGGCTGCGGTATCTGTCCATGTTTCAGACAAACGTCGGGTAAGGAAACGTACATTTTCGTCGGGAGACCTAGACAGCACCGAGGCATTAACACAACCTTTGTGAGGGCTGACTGCGGGCTCCAGCTCTCCCGCGCGACCAGAGGTACGCGCCAAATTCCCCTCCTCCCCCTTACCAGCTGAGGATGCTCCCTTAGCTCAGCGCAGCGCAGCCCAGCCCGAGACCGCCTAGGGGCAAAGCTTCGGGGCCTCAACTCCGGGAAGAACGCCGTTTCCGGCCAGACGCCGGGCTGCGCGGGAACGTGACTTCCGTTTTACCGTTGCTGTGGCGGCAGCACGCGAGGCCCCGCGTCCCGGCTTTCGTGCACCTGGAGCCGGTTCCCGGCGTCCTGAACCCACACTCCTCTTTCCTCGGTCAGCCCAAAAGCCTGATCTTTGCAGGGGTGCCGTCGCAACCCGACAAGGGCTAGTGACATCACAACTGCTCACCCAAACGGGCCTTCCCTTCAAGAGAACCGCCCTAGAGCGGACACATCTGACTTTCGGCGGGGTGGGACTTCCGGGTCGTGTGCGCACCGCCCACCCCGGCCCGGCCCGCCCCGCCCCGCAGAGGGCCCGCCCCTTACGTCGCAGTCCCTTCCGTTCCAGCTGGAGGAACGTCCGACTATCCCCTGAGCCTTCTGCGCCCGGAGGCTGCGGAAACCATGGAGTGTCGCCAGGTTGGTGTCTGGCAGAAAAAGGGAAACCTCAAGATGAATTAAAGAACCAACAGTCATTTGAAAAATTCTTCCTCTTCTTTTTAAAATTCTACTCCTCGGACTACTTTTCTGTTTCTGCTATCTTGTACCAAGCTTCTTAGGTCCCTTTCTAGGGTTCTCAGGAAGGCATCTGCGAGGTTGATCTTTTAGAAACGTGGTCAGAGAATCCACAAACTTGCTACAATTTAACACGCACTAACACTTCCTCCTATAACCCACCCCTTCTTCAGTCTGAGGCCCAGAGATGGGTTGTTTTAGGATTGCCTTCCCTTCTGTTGCCCAAAACCGACCTCTGTGCCCTGGAGCTGAAATATTTAAGGCGAAGACAGAGTTTGTATATGATTACTTTGCCTGGGAAAGGAGGCTGCAGCAGGCTAATGCCTCCCAAGACTGTAAGCTTGCCCAGGGTAAAAGGCTGAGACGGTTTTACAAGAAAATATAGGATCTAGGCAGTTTCCATAGGAATCTGATACATGCTGCCCGCCACGTTCCTTCCTTAAGTCTACAAAGTCGTCTCGTCACTCGCGCGGCCAGGCCTTTGGCCATGCAAGCCTCGTTACTAAGTATTGACATCGATATCCAGTTCTTGGAACAAAACATTCTACAGAAAAACAGGCGGGGGGCTTCAAGAATGAAGAAGAGAAAAGTGTGTTCCGTTTAAAATCAAGTCTTGCATTAATGTGTCCATATTCATTTCCATCCATTTTTACATTTCTTTTTTTTTTTTAATGTTTTTATTTATTTTTGAGAGAGAGAGAGAGAGACAGCGTGAGCAGGGGAGGGGCAGAGAGAAAGGGAGACACAGAATTCGAAGCAGGCTCCAGACTCTGAGCTGTCAGCACAGAGCCCGACGCGGGGCTTGAACCCACAAACCGTGAGATCATGACCTGAGCTGAAGTCGGATGCTCAACCGACTGAGCCACCCAGGCACCCCCCATTTTTACATTTCTATAGCGGCCTCATAAGAGCTTGGAAAACAAACTGCAGGGCGGCCTGGATCCTGGGGCTTAGCTGTCGTGTGCATCATTTATGGTGTATTCCCGTCTTATTAAAGTTCAATCTAGAACAATCAAAATCACAAAGGAGGTAAAAAAAAAAATTAACATTTTATGCATTTTAAAATAAGTTTTTCCTCTCTGGTATTAAGTTCTTGTGCTTATTGTATTGAATCCTACTGTACTGAATTCTATGCAAAAAGTAGATTTTATCTAGGAAGAGGAAGACTGATCCCTTGTACTGAAGAACCAAGCCAAAAGACAGACATTATGGCGGTTGCCAGGGGCTGGGAGAGTTATTATTTAATAGGTACAGAGTTTGATTTCAGATGGATGGTGGTGATGGTTGCACAAATTCACTGAACTGTACACTTAAAAATGGTTCAGATGGTAAATTTTATGTGTATTTTACCACAATAAGAAAATTTTTGAAAAACAAAACAAGACCTGAGGTTTTTGAGGAAATGTAACAAAGATGTGGGGGAAGAGAAAAAAATCACTGTACGTGAATATTGTCTTTAAGGTCTTTTGGGTTTGCAGAGGTCATTCAGGTGGGACATGGATTCCAGATAGAGCCAAAGCAAGGAGGTTGTAGAGTTCTCTTTGGTAGAGAGCTTTGGGAGCTTTTGTTTTGTTTTAATGAGAATTGAGAAACTTTTGTCATTCAGTTGACCATGATATCAACACCTTAGACTGGAATTCCAGGCTCTCTAATAGGTCCTGTGGAATCTCCCCTTATTCTCTTAAACATTAAATCATGATCTGTCATCCAAACCTAGTGCTTTCAGGCCATTGTTTGAAATCTTAATTCATTCTAATGAGTTACTTTGTTCCTTTGCCTACTTGAAGGATCAATTCAATGTACTTCTTCAGGAAATATTTCTCAATCACATAGTGATAACCCTCCCAAACTCACCCAATCACATATTGCCTAGTGATCCTGGTTTTCATTGTAGTCTTATTATTTAACTCTTGCATTTTGATTTTTTGTGTTATTTTTAGAGAGCGAGCGAGCAAGGGAGGGGGAAGAGGGAGAAAGAGAGAGAGAAAATCTCAAGCATGCTCCACGCTCAGTGAGGAGTTCCATATGGGGCTTGATCCCACCACTCCAGGATCATGACCTGAGCCAAAATCGAAAATCAGATGCCCAACCAGCTGAGCCACACAGGCACCCCTGCATTTTGATTTCTATATTCAGGTACTTACAGCAGGTATAATGGATACATTTTATGTACTTCTTCAGATTTCCTTGGCCTTGTTTACTTTCTGGACCCACAGTCACAGTCCCTAGCTCTGTCAGGCCCTGACCAGTTGCATTTCTAGAATCTCTGGCTCTTCCTATCACTTCTGGACTCCAGTGAAACACTGCATTGAACAGAGCGGGCACCGGCCTCCATCTGACTCCTGAGAGGGCTTAGAAGCTGCATCCTGGAAGTATGGAGGGGAGGGGAAGGTCATTCCCCACGGAACAAACTTTGACCAACTGAAAACAGTAGACTAAGTGAGCATGACAGAGAAATTCCCTTTCCATCTACCTTCCAAGGCATGGTTTTTAAGATTTTATTTTTAAGTAATCTCCACACCCAGTGTTGGGCTCAAACTTAACAACCTTGAGATCAAGAGTCACATGCTCTACCAACTGAGCCAGCCAGCGCCCCAACATTGAATGCATTTACCTACCAAGGAAGCTGCTGTGTCTCATGGCTCATTTTCAAAGGTGGGGGGGGGCAGCAAGGTAATATCATTTTGTATTACTTCGAATCCTCTGCCTAACATCTTTCCAGAGTGGTACCTCATTCTGGTTGATCTGAATTTGTATCTCCCGGAGTGCCTGGGTGGCTCAGTCAGTTATGACTTTGGTTCAGATCATGATCTTGCAGTTCAGGGGTTCAAGCCCCATCTCAGGTTCTGTGCTGACAGCTCAGAGCCTGGAGCCCACTTCACATTCTGTGTCTCCCCCTCTCTCTGCCCCTCCCATGCTCACACTGTTGTCTCTCTCTCTCAAAAATAAAATAAACATTAGGAAAAAAAAGTTTGAATTTGTACCTCTCAAATAAAGCATAAGCACTCAAACTTTACCTGAAAGACTAGCTCCACATTTTTTAATGTTTCTGTTAATTCACAGCACCTAGCACATGGCATTTGGTGTTCAAGAAATATTTTAATATATACTTAATATATTAGAGTTCCCCTTCCAGTGTAAAATTGCTGTAGTACTGTGCCAAAGAGAAGATGTACAACATACAATATATATTAGGTGTATTGTATTTTTTGCCTTTTAATATACAATGCATTCACATGGTTCAAAATTCAAAATGTACAAAACAGGACATTCTTTTATAGTAAAAAGAATTCCTCCTACCAAAGTTACCATTTTCTAATGTATCTCTCCAGAAGCAGCTTAAGAAGTGTATGGGTATATTAGCTTGTGTAATGTGTATATATGTGTATATATGTATATATACATGTGTATATGCATTTTTGCCCTTTTCTCTCCCACTTAACAATATATAGGAAATATTTTAAAACAACACATCTTGGTGATAGCTCAGTATCATTGTACAGTTATACAAAGAGCTTCTTCATTCTCTTATATTGCTACACAGAAAATATCCATTGTATCAATTCATCATTATTTTGTTTAAGGCTCCTCTCACTTTTGCTATAAAACTAGGTATATAGTAAATTGTACATATATTTCCCCCCATCTGTGAGATAAACTACTAGAAGTAGAATCCCTTGGTCATAGGATAAAGTTAGTTTTTGACTAATGGAATCAGCTCTTTTAAGGAGGACTTTTGCTTTTCAGAGGCCCTCACTGCTTTCCCCTTGTCAACAACCTGCACAGCCCTGAGCAAACCATCCTGCAAAGCCTGGTTCTTTACCATGTTAGTGATCAGGAAAGTGATGTCCCTGATATACATCTGCCTCACCTTAGCAACATAGTATTCTGCCTTGTTACCATATGCAATAAAGAAGGTACAAAGTGCTGTGACATCTCCTTCCTCCAGCCCACATTCCTCCAGGACAGACTCCCATACGCCTCTAATGCGCTGGTTCTTGACTTTTCGTCTTAAGACAGAGGCTAAGGTGGGAAGACCTCTCACCAGGTCTGGCAGCTTCTCAAGCACACGAGTGTGCAAGCAGATGAGTACTTCCATGACGTAGCTGTATAAAATATTCAGTTCCATTGAAGTGAATCTACAAAACATGTGGAGAGCTTCCTAAGCAGTGGGACTCTATGTACAAACATCAAATGAATTCTATTAGGATACAAACCACTAGAAGAACAGCTGTTGTATTTTAGAAAATACTCACTTTAGAAATAGGGCCTGCATTAACTGGATAGCTTAGTTCTCGGGCCGCTTATACTACACATTTCTCAGTGGCAGGGGAGTTATGTCATCCATCTCTGTATTAGTAAGACATTGGCAAGCAAGAGACTCTGATGAGATGTCTATAGCGGTGCTGGTGTATCAACAGGTGTTCAAATTAATCTTTTTTGAATGAATTAACCTAAGAAAATATGATTTCTTCACAATCCATTGTTAGAACCATATTAAGAAATCCAAGTTTAGAATGTCCACTGCAAGCTCTCACAAAGCCACGAAATTCCACTGATTTCTCATCGGATACTCACTTGAGTGCCAGAACTGCTGTCCATAGCTCATCATGGGCTGACTGTCTTGCCAAAGCCTTGCTATGATGTTCAAATTTCTGTGTCAGGCTATCCTTGGTGAAGTCCAGTTCTTTAAACTGTGCTTCTAAAGCTTGGAGTTTGTGGTCTACTCTATAGGATAAAAGAATCAAGGGGTACTTTAGGTCGAGGAGCAGTACTAAGGTTTTGCCTTAAGAGAAGGCTCTAATATATTGTTTATAATCACTATTAATTTGGGTAACTATCTAAATTCAAAATTATGAACAGATGTTTCCATTTGCCATTCTCTCTAGCCATCATCCCAGTTCTTATATTCCTTATATTGCCAAACTTCTGAATTGTCTAATTACTTGAATTATCTAACATCTTGTTTTGGAATTGAACTTTATACTTTAAAAAGTATTTTAGGGGCATCTGGCTGCACAAGTCAGTGGAGCATGCAACTCTCAGTCTCAGGGTTGTGAATTCAAGCTGCACATTAGGTATGGAACCTACTTTAAAAAAAGAATATTTTTAATTAAAAAAATTTTTATAATGTTTATATATTTTTGAGAGAGAGAGAGAGGGAGAGAGAGGCAGAGCAGGAGTGGGGGAGGGGCAGAGAGAGGGAGACAGAATCCAAAGCAGGCTCCAGGCCCCAAGCGGTCAGCACCAAGCCCGATGCAGGGTGAGATCATGACCTGAGCTGAAGTCGACTGCTCAACCAACTGAGCCACCCAGATGCCCCTTATTTTTAACTTAAAAAAATTTTTTTAAGTTTATTTATTTTGAGAGACGGTGTGTGCTCGCGAGAGAGTGGGGGTGGGGCAGAGAGAGAGGAGAGGGAGAGAATCCCAAGCAGCCTCCACATTGCCAGTGCAGAGCCTGACAGAAAGCTTGAACTCCAAACTATGAGATCATGACCTGAGCAAAAGTCAAGAGTCAGACATTTAACCAACTGAGTCACCCAGGTGCCCCCCCTTAAAAAAAGTATTTTTAATACAAGCATTACTTTGATTCTCACAACAACCATAAGAAGTGAAGCAGTCATTTTTATTATTTTATAGGTAAATCAGGTCTCAAGAAGATTAAGATCTAATGTCATAGCTAGTCCCAGCTAGTGCTGGGACCACTATTTAAAAAGGTTCTTTTCTCTATTCTGACTACCCAAATTGTATCCTACTTTCAAGAATAAGTTCACTTTCCACACTGTTTTCTTGAATCCCCTAGCGTTTCTGCCTGGAGATCGCCCTGCCTACATTTTCACAGGGACTGCCTCTATTACCTGTCACTGTTCACCTCCTGCTTTATTTTTAGAGTTAGGATTTCATGAAGAAAATTTTAAACTGTTGGAGAGAGGGGATCAGAGGCTATTTCTTAGACATCTTTATGCCTTGCTAAGGCCTTACACAGAAGTAAGAAAATATGTCTCATATGATCGACATCCATAAAGTGAATGAGCTGCTGAGCTGTGTAACCCAACAAGGGCATCTGGGCAGCTCTGAACAGCCGTAATCATCAGAGGGCACTGTGGCACTAGAATTATGTCAAATTGAATCACAAAGAACTGAAAGAACACAACTCACTTGCCTGAAGGCACTCATATTTTCACCAAAGAAGTGACACAAATACAGGTACCACTTCCCTGAGGTTCTATGTCCCCAGTGACCTGAATACTTTGTGGTTGCCCAGGTTCCGTCCTTGACCATCTTCTCTTTTAGATCCTCAGTTTATCTCAAGGCTAATTCAGCTTTAAGTACCACTCCTAAGCTCTAGAGTTGTATCTTTAACTATGTTTTGTGCATCTCCAAACCCAACCGTCCTAAACTGAACCTATGCACTATCCCTCTCCCTCATCTTCAGAAATTACTATGGTTGGAATTTTCTCACTGCTTTGGATATTTTACTTACATATAGATGAGGCCCACTATGAAATGTGTTTCATAGGATGTAAGCCTGCATGACCTAACATGCCAGCGATTTCTGACTACATACGAAAACAATGTCAGCTGGCACACTGTCTGTATTAACTCTGACACCTTTAAGACTATATTGCTTATAGGTCCTCTCTAGCTTGAACTCTAGAGAGCAACTCTAGCTTGTCCGTCATTGTAAAACTTCACAGTTGTTAACAGGTTTTTTTTAAATTTTTATAGTTTTTATTTATTTTTGAGACAGAGAGAGACAGAGCATGAGCGGGGGAGGGGCAGAGAGAGGGAGACACAGAATCCGAAACAGGCCCCAGGCTCTGAGCTGCCAGCACAGAACCAGATGCGGGACTCTAATCCACGAACCGCGAGATCATGACCTGAGCTGAAGTCAGGCGCTTAACCGACTGAGCCACCCAGGGGTGCTCCTGTTGTTAACAGGTTTTTGAGAGTCTCTCACAGAAAGGCATTCCCACACCATTCCAAATAAATCCTGAATGACATGTCTACAAATGCAGATCTGTGTTCTACTATTAATTCCCAGCTCAGTTAGTGACATCACCATCTATTCAAGTGCTTGAACTAGAAATTTCAGAATAATTCTTACCTTTTTTTTTTTTCTTTCTCTTTACTAATGCCTCTAAACGATCCCCTCCTGGGGCGCCTGGGTGGTTCAGTCGGTTAAACATCTGACTTGGGCTCAAGTCATGATCTCACGGTTCATGGGTTCCAGCCCCGAATCGAGTTCTGGGCTGGCAGCTCAGAGCCTGGAGCCTGTTTCAGATTCTGTGTCTCCCTCTCTCTCTGCCTCTCCCCCACTCATGTCCGTCTCTCTCTGTCTCAAAAATAAATAAACTATAAAAAAATTAAAAAAAAACTCCCCTCCTGTCCATCACCACTAAACCAGTTAATAACTATCTTTCACTTTGACTTAGGATCACAGTAGCCTAACTGGATCCCTGCTTTTGATTTCTGCCACCTCTAATCCATCTTTCTAGAAATGTGGCTCTAAAACACAATTCTGATCATGTGACTCAACAGATTATGTATGCTTTATGATGCCCTGACTTGCCCAAAGATACAGGTAGAGTCAAATTGGCTATCCTCAGAAGGGAACATAAAGCCCTTAACCCTTTGCTCCCATCTGCTGTCAGTCTTCTCACATCCTAGTCACTAATCACCCAAGACATCTAGGAGCTGACGGAACACAGGCTTCTGCGGCCTCCATGTTCCATGTACGTGTCCCAAGTACTATTTCCTCAGCCTAGATTCCTTCCCATACTTTCCTTTCTCATAGCCTTTTACTCACACTTTAAGATCCAGTTTAAATGTCTCTCTATGCCTTTCCTTTTCCTGCTGTCAAAGGCAAAATTAACTGGTCCTCTCTTCGTGTCCTCACAGCCCTTTATGAACAACATTGTTACAAGGCCAATCACATTAAATTCTAAGTATTTTTAAATGATTCTCTTCTCCTTATAGACTTTAAGCTCCTTGAGGACAGAAACCACATTTTACTTATTTTGTATACCTAAAATATAGTACATACATTAATTGAATGGAATTCACCTGGTAGTAGATTTTTCTTTATTTATGCATATATATGCATATATATATTTAAATATATGTGTTAAATATATATAAATATGTGTTAAAATATATATAGTTAAATATATATGTTACATATATATTTTTTATTTATGTATTATTTAAAATATACATTTTTGTGGAAGACTTAAACCACTTTAAACAGTGACAGAATTCCAATTTGCCTATTTTTATTCTTTATTCTTCTCTTGCCCATCTTCCCAGAAAAGCAGACCTATGCTTGTTCCCGCCCTGTAGCCCTTAGCAACCTTTTCATTGCCTCCTTCAAGGATATCAGGGTTGTGGTTTCATTGTTCATCTTCTTAAGGCAAAATGAAAGGAAACAAAACCAGGAAAATAAAAACCTAATGGAGGTTTGAATCCAGGGTTTCCTACTGTCTTCCACTCAGCAACAAGCAGCGGCTTGTGTATTTGATCTGAATTCTGCCTCAAAGGTCACTCAGTACAAGAAGCTTTTAATAGCTTGTACATCCAAATATAGTTTCAGAGAACTGATCTTCTGAACACAGGTGTCCTAAAACCCACTATAATGTTTGCCTTTGTAAAGTGAGCTGTAGCACATCAACAGAGCACAACCACCAGATGTAATTGTGGCTCTCTGTATATTCCAATAAATGTATACTTACATATATGAATATATAATATACTAGGATTAAATTTGATGGGAATATTACTCTCAAATTTTAACAGCTTAATTATTCAGTTACAATCTAAATGAGGTTTAAAGAGAGCCCTAGACCTTTTATGATATATCAATGGCAAAAATCTAATCATCCTTAGAAACTAATAAATATTTATTGAGAGCTTCTAGTATTAGATTAAGTATTGGAAGTGGAAACAGATATCAAACAGAATTCCTAAATTCAACATGCTTAACTTCTAAATGGGAAGACAGGACATACTTAAAAAGAAAATGTATATAAAATGTTGTGCACTCAATAGATATAGACCATAAAAAATCATATATGAGACAGTAAGTCACTGAAGCCTTGGATAATTGAGAAATGTTCACACTGAAGGTAGGATTTGAGCTTAGTCTTAATGGAAATGTAGGTGTCTGATTATCAGAAGAGAGGATATTATAAAACTGGAGAAATTATGTGAGCAAAATCAGAAAGGCAAGGTACATAATGCGGTCAGGAAACAATGAGTAGATATACCTTAAACAAAAAAGTCATGTGAGGAAAAGAAAAACAACAATTAAGGGGTGCCCGGGTGGTTTAGTCGGTTAAGCGTCCGACTTTCGCTCAGGTCATGATCTCGCTGTTCGTGGGTTCGAGCCCCGCGTCGGGCTCTGTGCTGACTGCCAGCTCGGAGCCTGGAGCCTGTTTCAGTCTGTGACTCCCTCTCTCTCTGACTCTCCCCTGCTCACGCTGTCTCTCTCTCTCCTAGAAATAAATAAAACATTAAAAAAAATTATAAAAAAAAAAGAAAAAGAAAAACAACAATTAAAAAAAACCCTAACGTTTAAACTAATAAGATCCAGGTCATGAATTTATTCATTCATTGAATAGTTTATTCACTTATTCAATACTTAGTGAACGCTATAAATATCAATTGAATGTATAAAACACTATTCTAGGTGTTGAGAATACAATAATGAGTAAGGTAAGTTTCTTG